TATGGGTATGTAAACTTTTGACTGATATTGCAAAATAGGGCAAATGTCTCAATTTCTCTGAATCTTCATGTCTCATTCTGTAAAAATTGCAATAGAAATAGAAAAAAATAAATATAATATAGCAATACATATAGAAATGATAGAGTTCAAATTTAATAGAGGTGCCATTTAGTTTTATTTCACTGCCCTGTATGTGATGGGGTTGTTTTAGTCCCTGGAGTACAGTTAAATATGAAATACATGCTGTTAGGATTCTTATTTGACATTCAGTAAAATGCTATCATCCAACAAATAGTTTTGTAAATACTGATTCTATATTTCTTTATCATTCAATATTTATTATTTAAAGATTGATTTTTTATTTTAAAGCCAGAGTGATAGAGAGGGAGAAGCAGAGAAAGAAAGAGATCTTTCATTTGTTGGTTACTTCTCCAAATGTCCACAGTAGCCCAGGATGGGCCAGGTTGAAGCTAGGAGCCTAAAACCCCATTTGTGTCTCCCATGTGGGTGGTAGAGGCTTGAGTACATGTGTCTTTTTCTTTTGCTTTCTCAGGCACATTAGCAGGGAGCTGGACCAGAAGTGGAGCAGCCAAGACTTGAACTGGTGCTTCCATATGGAATGCTAGCATTACAGGTGGTGGCTTCACCTGCTGCACCACAATGTTGGCCCCTCAATAAATATTTGAGGCCTGCTATGAGCTAGGTATCGTTCTGAAGATAAAATGTTGAACAACACGAAGTCTATCTGAGTAAGGGATTGCTTTTGTGTGTTATAGGTCTCTCATTTGCTGGAGAGTAAAGAGACCAAGCTTAGCTTAAGTGAATTGGTTGGTTTATTAATAGAGATAAATCATGTTGACCTTTATTATCCTTTCTTTCTAGTACTTATCATGAAGCTTTGGAGGACATTCTCTGTTTTAGGAGTTTATATTGCTAGTAGAAAGTCAGGAGCAGTAGGTTAGGGAAAGGATGATTGGAGCCTGAGGAACATCTATCCTCCAGCTTCAACAGGGGGCTAGTATCTTGCTCAAGATAAACAGCTGATTTGTCATCTGTGGAGCCAATAGTTGAGTGCCATGGAGACTGGGAGGTGCTATCTCACTTTCAGATTTGTATTTTTTGAGGAGTTTTTCATCAGTCTAACAGCTCTTAACAAATTGGACCTCGTTAGTTTCAGATAAGTTCATGAGGAATTATTAGTACAGTAGTGATTTCTCTCCCCTTTTTTTAGAAATCAGATTTTTTTGTTGTTCTGAGAGGAGGGATATATTAATTCTAGTTGCCATTGTGTGACAGTTTAACTCCACATGTTTTATGGTACCTTTGGAATTTATATTTTCTCAATCTTTTTCCCAGATTTTGGCTTATATGTCAATTGACTTGTGAGTTTGCTAAGGTAAAGGTTATGCTTTTGTTTTGCTTTTGAAAAACCTAGTTCTAAGAAACATTAACTAGATTATGTCCTTTTTTATAATCTGAAATAGTTATATGAGGATATTGAAAATTGAGCCCCAGTTAAGAAATCTTGGTATTTCAAGCGCAGTTAAGTGAATTAACGTGTTCTTGGAATGTTTATGTACTACAATTCTTCGATTAGAGAACGAGGGCTTTCCCGAGCAAAAGTAAAAGCAAAGTTTGCAGGTGCTGAGTCCTTGGAGCCAAGTGTCATCCTCACAGCCCACAAGGTCATCCTGTGTCTTAGCAGAGCTATGATGCGTAATTGCTTCCAACATGAGCCCAAGAACAGCTGCGCCACACATGGAAGCCCAGGGAGTGTCTGTTTTCATTGTTTCAGGGTGATGATGAAACCCAGTCACTATACAAATTAAAATCTTAGAAGTCTAGAAATATTTGGAAAATGAGCTTTAAAGCAAATCTTCCTGTCTGGTTCTCTAATTCTGTTTGGATGCCTTTGATGTTGTGTTGTTGTCAGTGGTGGTGGTAGTGGGTATGGCAAGAAAAATAGTTGAATTCAAAATATCGATGGCTTAAATTTATTTTCAGGTCTTTATTAATTTCTACTGGTTCAGTAAGTTTGGATGCTGCTGTAGATATGACCCCTACTGTTCATTAAATGTATCTCTGGGTTCCTAGTTAAGTGTGGTTACCTGTTTGGTAAGATAGAAATAGGAAATAACATTAAACAAAATTCTCCTCTGATTGTATTATACACCATTTTCCTGGGGCTCAGGGCCCAGGACAAGAAGATCCAGGTTCTGACAGGTCAGAGGATGGCTTGGAGTTGTTGTGAGTTTGTCTCCTTTACTCACAGTGGGGGTGAGAAATGCAGAAGGAACAGCTACTTATCCCTTCATGGTGGTAGGGCCACAGGAGGTATCTGCCTTTGTGTCCATGGTGGTGGTTGGACACATACGTCTACATACTTTCACACGTAGCCACATACAGTCGCACATCCACAAGCAGCCGCATCCAACAGCCACATATGTATGTCCACATCCACCCACAAGCAGCTACATCTAAACTTGCCTCCAATTGCTTATATGGATTTAGACAACAGTGGCCCAGAGCCAAACCATTACATAACAGGCTTGTGGGCAGATAGCCAAGCAAGTGGGTCTGTCAGTTACCATGACACCAGTTACCACAGAGACAGAGATATTGGAGCACAGAGATAAGGGGGCAAGGACAAAAGGCATGGGAACTTGATAAACACCATCTTCCCAACGTGCACGCTGGCTGTTTAACAGGTATATATTCAAATAAGAGGTTAACCAAGACATCTCACACAACCATGGTTTATGAAGATCCCTAGTCCCCCTTTCTGCAAAACTCTAATTGCTGTATGTCAAGTGTTACTTTCTCCTTTCTAAAGTTTTCTGTTTTGTACTTTTTTCTCTTATTATACTTTGCATTTTCAGCAACTTGTTGATTTTTTTTTCATCCTCTTACTTTGCAGGGGTTATGCTATCTTTTGTAGGATGCTACCCACAAATCTGACAGATGTATCTGCTTGTCCATTGTTTGGGTTATTGATGAGGCAGTTGGGAGAGTGCGGGGCTTAGGGTTAATATTCAGGGAATAATGCTTGCTGCTTCTTGTGTGGTACTTCATAGAGTGTTCAAGTAGGAGCAATTGGCATTTGGAAATAAACCTTAATGTCACCTCAGCTTCTTCCTGAAGCAGGTGCAATTTCAATGGAGACTTCAAGGCAATTCAGTAGCAGTGTAATTTCTATACTAAACACACAATCTCCTTCTTCCTACATTCACATCCACTTTTTCTGAGACACAGTATCCCATGAGAAATGTCACTAATTCTCCAAAGAAGGCAGCTCCAGGAGAAATAAACCAGCACATATCTGTACCTGCGAAGATAAAATTAAACATAGAAGCCTTGCTATGTGCTCCCACTGTCATTTCACTAGATAAAGTGCAGAAAAGTGTGGCATTGGAAAAATGGTTGAATTCTGGCTAGAGATGAAAATGCTGCAGTTGAAAATTTTCCAGAACAACATGTACTTGGATCCATATTAAAGAAAAATTCTCTGAGTGTTTAAGCCAAGTGACCCAGCAGGGTTGATAGTGAGAGCATATTTCACAGTTGTATAAATATTTAAAACCACTTTCCAGCCTATAAAACAAGTAAATTAGGCTATTTTTTAAAACCTGCACAACGAAATTAACCTGCCCAGCTTAGCTTGTTGGGAAAACCTGCCGCCCTCATCTCAGCCCTTTCTTCTAGGAGGGAATCCCTGGGAAAGTAGTGTGATGAAAACTTCCACCTTAGAAAACAAGGCTGGTTTACATGTCAGGGAGTTTCAGAGGGTGCGTTTAGCACCCATGCCACAGGTGGTCTGTTTCCAGAGGGCTGGTTTGGCTTTGGGCAGCTGGGACTAACTTGTCACTAAGGGGTTAGATCACATGTATACAATAGTTTTCATTATAACTCCCTTTGAACTTGGTGAAGAGTAGGCGAGGGGCTTCATTATATACCTGAGCTTTATTATTTTTTTAAGATTTATTTATTTATTTGAAAGTCAGAGTTACACAGAGAGAGAAAAGAGAAGGAGGGGAGGGAGGGAGGGAGAGAGAGAAGAGAGAGGGAGAGAAAAAGAGGTTCACTCCCCAGTTGGCCGAAATGGCTGGAGCTGCGCCGATCCGAAGCCAGGAGCCAGGAGCTTCCTCCGGGTCTCCCACAAGGGTGCAGGAGCCCAAGCACTTGGGCCATCTTGTACTGCTTTCCCAGGCCACAGCAGAGAGCTGGATTGGAAATGGAGCAGCCGGGACTCGAACCAGCGCCCACATGGGATGTCGGTGCTTCAGGCCAGGGCGTTAACCCGCTGCACCACAGTGCCGGCCCCTATACCTGAGCTTTAAAACAAGCTGTGCAATGTGTTGGCTGTGTTGTTACTGTCTGTTCTAAGCAATAGCAGTTTCAGCCTGTTAGAATGTCACCAATCCATCCTCAGTGTTGTGGGTGATTTGTAGGTGGTTCTTCTCATCAAGTCTTTGATCATCCACAGTTGTTCTTGTCCTTTTCAAATTTGTTTATAACTTTTTTTTCTTCTTTATGCATTTTAACTATTGCCCTGGATCATTCTTTCTTGCCACTGTTTCATCTTCACTTTTCTCCTCCAGTTAAATAGACTTCTGAGACAATGGCAGTGATGTTGCTGTGTTTATTAATGAGTTTGAAATGAATGTCGATGATTGAATGCATGTAGTGTTTGCAGATGCTGCTTAAAGCTGCATGGGATGGTGGACGAGTGCTCAACCACGAGTTTGGCATCTTGGGTTTAGCCCATGGGTACCACTAACTTGTTGGGTATTCTTGGGCAAATTACTTTACCTCTCTGGGTCTTGGTTCTCACATCACTGAGGCAAAGAACTTCATCATATAAGGTGCTTTCAAATTTAATTTTCTAGGAAAGTCTTATCTGCTTTCTCTAGATCTGATACTACATGTGAATATATTTCCTTGATTATACTTCTGATTTTTTTCTCCATTCTTGAAAATAATAATTTTGGTTTTGTTTTCAGACTGCAGAATGAAAAATGGATGAATGTCAAAGTGGGAGACATCATTAAATTAGAAAATAACCAATTTGTTGCTGTAAGTATTCAATATTATTTAAAGAATTTATCTAATGTGTTTGCACTTACAAATTTAGTACATCCATAATAATCTAAAGAAATTAAGAAGGGAATACCAGTGTATATTCATAAGCAGTCTCAATTATAAAATGTTTGAAAAGATGAATAGATTTATGGCTTCCAATAACATGGTAGCTCAGGTAAGAATAGTGATTATCACTTTGTCTATTTCCTTAGGGACCTATCGTTACAAGAGATATTGTCAGGAACCATCAATCATTTTTAAAAAACTTCTGAGTACCTTAAAAATAGTTTTCTCTCACCTATTTTGAATACTATTACTTAGTTCTGTGATTAGTGCTTCTAATTTTTCCTTTCTGAATAATCATAAAATTATTATTGATTATGTTTAGTTAATAAAATGTTAATGAAGTCTTTGTATATCAAATGACACTATAATATATATTCTCAATCTCCCTATGTTGCAATTTCCTTAATAAAATTCTTTCAACAATTACTAAAATATATGCAACTACTGTAGTTAAAATAAAATTTAGGGTGACAAAGATAACTAGAGATTAAAAATTTGAATTGCAATTTTTATGTCAAACATATGTTAGAATACCTATGAAAATGTTTGTATTGAGTATAATTTTGTACAACAAGTTGTAGCATTCATTACATTTGAGTAATTTTACCACAGGGGTGAAATATGGCCCTAAGATCTATTTACATGAATAACAACTGAATTAGGACTCCCAAACATTCCCACTCAGCAATAGTCTTCTTTCAGGAACACGCTTTCTTTGTAGACTGAGTTTGTTGGGTCAGCCATTGCTAAGAAACGACTCAGTGAAGGGTCCATACATAAAAGCACTCACATTTTAAGTAGGGAAATGCTTATTTTTCTGGCAGCCTCAATGCTTTAGAAAATAGCTGAGAACCAAAAATAAGCAAGACCAGCTGAAATGAGGTCTTAAAGTCATGGCTTGTGTTCCTTATTCGTAGGACAATCTGTAAGGTCCTCACAATCTATTTAATATTATTTTAGACACATCTAAATGAGCTTGTCTGGCTTATTTTCCAGCTCATTAGAGATTAGGAACCCTGTGCTAGGAGGTGATGTCAGCTAGCAGAATGGGCCTGGTAGGTGGGCTCAGAGTACCTAATATGGAGACAGTGGATGGGGAACTGGTGAGAACTGAGTCTTTGCTCCCTTCCTCCAGTGAGAGCAAATACTTTATCTTTTTTGATTTTGGTTTTTTTCATATGCCAAACCAGAGTGCTAGACAATTGTATGATTTCAGATATCCCTTTCAGTTCTTATGTGCTATGATTCTCTTAATTGAGACAGGCTACAAGATCCTTGAAATCAAAGTGCATGTTGATTTGACTGACATCTAGTGCCATGTTATATCATAGGGAGCATTCAATAAATGTTGGTTGAATGAATAAATATCCATCTTTTATAAGAAGAAGACAAAAAATGATAAGTGGATATAAATTCTCAAAATTCAGAGTATAATGGATCACAGGAGTAACAGTAAATAGATCTATATGTCCTAATGAAGAAAAGATCACATATAGTCAAGATTCTTTTTTATGAAGAAAGGATTCTATGTAGCACATTTTAGTCTATTCTCAAAATGGATACAATGGGAGAGTTTTGGTGCTTCTAAGTATATAACCTTAAATTTTTATTTTTTATTATTTTTTTTTTATTTTTATTTTTTGACAGGCAGAGTGGACAGTGAGAGAGAGAGACAGAAAGAAAGGTCTTCCTTTTCCGTTGGTTCACCCCTCAATAGCTGCTGCGGACGGCGCACCGTGCTGATCTGAAGCCAGGAGCCAGGTGCTTCTCCTGGTCTCCCACGTGGGTGCAGGGCCCAAGGACTTGGACCATCCTCTGCTGCCTTCCTGGGCCACAGCAGAGAGCTGGCCTGGAAGAGGAGCAACCGGGACAGAATCTGGCATCCTGACCGGGACTAGAACCCAGTGTGCCAGTGCTGCAGGTGGAGGATTAGCCTATTGAGCCGCAGGGCCAGCTGATAACCTTAAATTTTAAAAGGAAACTTGCCTATGAGGAATTCTCAGATGTGTGCATTCAAATTTTTTTGGGCAACTACTTTATGCCAAATGGTGCTATGTTATAAAGGAATTATTACTCTGGTGCCGTGGCACACTCGGCTAATCCTCCACTTGCAGCGCCAGTACCCCGGGTTCTAGTCTTGGTTGGGGCACTGGATTCTGTCCCGGTTGCTCCTCTTCCATTCCAGCTCTCTGCTGTGGCCTGGGAAGGCAGTGGAGGATGGCCCAAGAGCTTGGCCCTTGGGCCCTGCACCCCATGGGAGACCAGGAGAAGTACCTGGCTCCTGCCATCGGATCAGTGTGGTGCGCCATCCTCAGCAGCCATTGAGGGGTGAACCAACGGAAAAGGAAGACCTTTCTCTCTGTTTCTCTCTCTCACTGTCTAACCTGCCTGTCAATAAATAAATAAATAAATAAAGGGATCAGTAAAAACTATACTTGCTCCATGGAAGAATTGGAAGTATTCCCACCAAGATCTGGAACCAGACAAGGATTCACACTCTCACCACTGCTATTCAATATAGTCCTGGAAGTTTCAGCCAGAGCTGTTAGGCAAGAAAAAGAAATCAAAGAGATACAAGTTTGGAAGAAGGAAATAAAACTATCCCTATTTGCAGATTACACGATTCTGTATCTGGGGGATCAAAAAGACTCCACTAAGAGACTATTGGAACTCATGAAAGAGTTTGGTAAAGTGGCAGGATATAAAATTAACACACAAAAATCAATAGTGATTGTATTCACAGACAACATCATGGCTGAGAAAGAACTTCTCAGATCAATCCAATTCACAGTAGCTACAAAAAATTAAATACCTTGGAATAAATCTAACCAAGGACATCAAAGACCTCTATAATGAGAATTACAAAACATTAAAGAAATAAATAGAAGAAGACAGAAAAAATGGAAAAATCTTCCATGTTCATGGATTGGAAGAATCAATATCATCAAAATATCCTTTCTTCAGAAAGCAATTTATAGATTCAATGCAATACCAATCAAAATACCAAGGACATTCTTCTCAGATGTAGAAAAAACGATGCTGAAATTTATTTGGAGGCACAGGAGACTCTGAATAGCTAAAGTAATATTCTACAACAAAAACAAAGCTGGAGGCATCACAATACCAGATTTGAAGACATACTACAAGGTAGTTATAATCAGAACAGCCTGGTACTGTCACAAAAGCACATGAGTAGACCAATGGAACAGAATAGAGACTCCAGAAATCAATTCATGTATCTACAATCAACTTATCTTTGACAAAGAAGCTAAAATGAATCCCTGGAGCAAGGACAGTCTCTTCAACAAATGGTACTGGGAAAACTGGGTCTCTGCATGCAGAAATATGAAGCAACACCCCTACCTTACACTTGCAAAAACTCCACTAAAAATGAATCAAAGACCTAAATTTATAACCTGATACCATCAAATTATTAGAGAACATTGGGGAAACCCTACAAGACATTGACATAGGCAAAGACTTCTTGGAAAAGACTGCAGAAACACAGGCAATCAAAGCCACATTGACAAATGGGATTACATAAAATTGAAAAGCTTCTGTACTGCAAAAGAAACACTCAGGAAAGTGAAGAGGCAGCTGACGGAATGGGAGAAATTATTTGCAAACTATGCAACTGACAAAGGATTAATATACAGTATATATAAAGAGCTCAAGAAAACAACAACAGAGCAAATAATCCAGTTAAGAAATGGGCAAAGGACTTAAACAGACATTTTTCAAAAAGAGGAAATCCAAATTGCCAACAGACACATGAAAAAATGCTCAGGATCGCTAGCCATCAGGGAAATGCAAATCCAAACCAGAATGAGGTTTCATCTCACCCTCATTAGAATGGCTTTCATACTGAAATCAGTAAACAACAAATGCTGGCAAGGATGAGGGGGAAAAAGGTACTCTAAGCCATTGTTGGTTGGAATGTAAACTGATACAGGCATTGTAAAGACAGTATGGAGATAACTCAGAAATGTGTATATGGACCTACCCTATGACCCAGGCATCTCACTCCTGGGAATTTGCTCAAGGGAAATTAAATCAGCATATGAAAGAGTTATCTGTACCCCCATGTTTACTGCAGCTCAATTCACAACAGCTAAGATATGGAATCAACCCCAATGTCCATCAACTGAATACTGGATAATGAAATTACAGGATATGTACACCATGGAATACTACACAGTGATAAAAAAGAAATCCTGTAGTTTGCAACCAAATGGATGCAACTGGAAAACATTATACTTAGTGAAATAAGCCAATCTCAAATGTACAAATACCTTATGTTCTCTCTGATCTGTGGTATCTAATAGAATACCTAAAACGTAATCCATGGAAGTGAAATTGACACTTTGAGATGCAATGACTTTGAACAGCCCTTGTCTGGATTGTTGAGGAACAGTTTTTTTTTTTTCATAGTATTTGTTGAACTCTTTATTTAGCATAGGTTTAATCTTATATGTATAAAGTTAATTGAAAATCTTAGTAAATATAAGAATGGGAATAGGAGAGGGAAGAGGAGGAAGGGTGGGAGTGCAGGTGGGAGGATAGGGTGAGAAGAATGACTATATTTCTAAATTTGTATTTATGAACTACATGAAGTGTGCATACCTTAAATAAAATGTTTCGGGAAAAAATAAACTTGCCCCATGGTAAAGACCCCTTGGATATACTCTTAACAGGTGAACATTAGACTGGACTCACTTATTCACGATTAATGTAGTATGTTCACTTGTCAGATTCTTAGGAGTGAGTTCAGAAAAGCGAGAGGCAAATCTATGGTTCAACTCTTGTAACTGTAGGGTGGCATAGCCAGAATATCTGTGTTCCAACTTGCCCTCTAGTAGCCTTGATACTCTAATTTGTATTTCCCTTCGTCTGTTTTTAATTTAGCTATATTTTCTATATGATATATG